TATATATATACATATATATATATATATATATATATATATATATATATATATATATATATATATATATATATATATATATATATATATATATATATATATATATATATATATATATATATATATATATATATATATATATATATATATATATATATATATATATATATATATATATATATATATATATATATATATATATATATATATATATATATATATATATATATATATATATATAAAGGAGAAAAAAATAGGAGAGCTAACTTTGACTTTGTATTAATGTAACGCCATTCATTGGGTGATGAATTTTATTGGTAATTTATTCTAACTTGAAAATAAGGCAATAAGGGAGTTTTACAACAACACTATCAATCTTATTGCAGTCACTCACTTGACATTGAAAATTAAAAGATGAAATCGAAATTAATTAGGGCTTGCAATTGAGTTTGGGTAAAATATCTGCAACAAGTGACTGAGCAATATTTGCATAAGCCTCTTCAGTTAAATTGATCCCATCCCAACTTACGTAGCTACTTGGCTGAGCGCACGCGTGAACTCCACGCGCTCCGCATGTTTGGTTCGACTTGTAATTATATGCCCCTCCAATCCCACAACATGCCTTTTGCAAATTCTTTACATCAAACTCTGCATATCACAACGAGATCACAAAATCATGGTCAAAGAATAATTTTTAGGGAGTGAAAATAAGGGGGGAAAAAACCCACGCTTGAAAAATGCATTTCATTTTTGAAAGCTAACATGTTCAACGTAGTATTTGCAAAAGCTTATTTAAAAGTAGAAGTTGATGATTTCGAGTTAAGTTATTTTTAAGTGTTTATTTCTAAAAGTTGAGTTTGTTTGCAAATACACTAGAAAATCAACTTCATTTGAATAAGCAGAATCAATAGTGTTTTTCAAATTACAACTTAAAACAGCTTATTTTAAGCAAAGCAAATGCAAAATCTGATTTCGCAAACACATGAAAATAGATTATGAGAAGAAAAGTTCACAATGTATTTCTAAAAGTTTTTGCAAGGATAGACGCACACAATTAAAAAATATATCAAATAGAATTACTTTTGGAAGGAATATTATATTTTGACAAAATTACCCATCAATTTGTAGCAGGGTGCATAATTGTAATATATTTTCCTTTTTACTAAAACTTCACGAAAAAAGAAAAACAGAAAGGAAGAAAGAACTTACTTAGGTGCGATGCGTTGCGCAAAATGGCGGTGTAAGCGTTGTAATAATCGCCGTACAAAATTGCGACATTGGGATTTTGTTTCTTCACTTCTTGAATGGCTTTTTGCAATTCAGAGTTATGGTATTGTGACAAATTATTTAGATAGTTCAAACATTGGAATTTGTCATATGATTTCGGATCCTTGGTTTCAAACCTAGTGAGGAGAGCCGGTAGACAACCAAGTGGCAAAATACCCGGAACGACTATCCGAACCGCCCCGAATTCGATCACCCTCTACATTATCACGAATAAAAGTCAATACACAAGTTTAATCGAAACCCGAAACCCTGAAAATCCAAAAACCCAAAACCCAAAATCCGAAGATCTGATAAATTAATTAACTAAAGAAAATAGTACAATAAATATTTTACATTAATAGCCTTCTGAATTGCATAAACAACATCTGAGACAAGAGATGTTGTATCTTGGATTGATTTGCCTTGCAATAATGCATAGCTATAGTCGTTCATGCCAATCTCACCCACCATGAAGAGTGAGTTTTTAAGCAATTGTATGCAATCTAATAGGAAAAAAATAAATTAATAAAGATTAAATGAATAAAACATATATATTATATTGATGTAGAGTAGAGTGTTTTTTTAGCAATATTTAAATCATGTTACAAACTGAGAAAGTACAGATGAGGGCAAGATTCGAACCCTAGACCTCTACTCATACATTATGTGTAACTTTAAAATAACATTTTCATTAATTTACTTTTTTCAAATATTGACCTTACTCGTATATTATTTCAAATACTAATTCTCAAAATTAAGGAAGTAACAAATGAAAAAAATAATGAGAAATATTATATTATTATATTTCTTTTTGGGTAGTGCGCGCATATTAAAAAAGTTAATATATGCATAGATTAGACCAAAAATAAGATAGTAATACTAAAATACCCTTATATTAATTATTTTTTAATTAACTAATTAAGAGTGATAAGGGGCAAAATTGATAAAAATGCAATTAATATTTTATTGAAAATCTAAACTGACAAATAATGGGGAAAAAAAAACACCCAAAAAAGACAAATAGTACGGGACCGATGGAGTAATTTATAAAATCCATGTATATATTTTATTAACTTTCTTTGTACGTATATCAAAAAAATAAATAATAATTAATTTAAAAACAAAGAGAGTACGAAAACATAACAAATTTAAAGAAGTTAATTAGTGTTACCTGTAAGGCAAATAGAGTTGAAGTGAGTAAACATGAGATCAAGTTGTACATCAAGAGAAGTTGTAGTAATTGGAGATGAAATGTTTTTGGATTGTAAAAATTGTGTTGGTAGAGCAGTTGCTCCTGCAGTTGCAAAGTTATCTCCATTCTTGAATTCTGCTTCTCTGTTCTTGTATGGGTTGATGAATGCTAGACCCGATGCCGCTGCTGCAAAGTTATTTAAATAAAAACAAATTCCAACATTTAATTTCTTATTAATAAAAAAATAAAAAATTAGGCTTATAATAAATTAAATTGACAAATTGGTGCATATATTAAATTCTAAAATTCAATAATTCCCCAAAATTGATGATTGTGTTTTGTGGAAAGTGTTTAAATTGCAAATATAAAACAAAATGTTACTCTTTTTTTTTTTTTTTTCTTTTTGCAGATAAAATTAGTATCACGCTCATTCCATTTCTCTATCCTTTTTTAATGGGAAATGATAAATACAGGATGAATTTTAGTAAACACATGTCATTTTTTAATTTCATTTTTAATCCCACTTCACACATTTGTCATCTCTTTAACTTTATTATTCTAAATAAAATTCATATATTTCATTTTTATTTCATTTAAATTAATTCTTTTAACTTTTAGAATTAAATTGGGGGAATTATATAAACTCGAAATTTGTCCATATATTTATCATGAAATTCAAAAAATAAAAATTAAAAAATAGAGGTTTCTACTTCAAGTAAAAAGGTTTTGGGCAATTTTTGTAGATTAAAAACACAAGAACAGGGTAACAACATGCGAGTTAGAAAAACTTCACAAATC